GGAGGAGAGAAAAAGTCACACAAGTCCAGGAGGCACAGAAGGTCCCATTCAAGAGGAACCCAATGAGGCCCACTCCAAGACACATCATCATTAAAGTGGCAAATATCAAAGACAAACAGAGAATCCTAAAGGCAGCAAGGGAGAAACACATAGTAACATTAAAGGGAGCCCCGGTACAGCTGATAGCTGACTTCTTAACAGAAACACTACAAGCCAGACAGGAATGGCAAGAAATATTCCAAGTGGTGAAAAACAAAGGCCTGCAACCCAGACTGCTCTACCCAGAAAGGCTCTCCCCTCAGGTGTCTCTAGCCCACTCTGTCCCACCTTTGCTGGAGACTAGGTAAGTGGCTGCAAATAAAAATTTATAAACTGGCCCTTTCAACGGTTCTTTGCATCTGCAGCCACCTGTCTCTGGCAGAGAGCAACCCTGCCACTTTTTGCAGCTGGATGTTTTCTGGGTACTTTTTGGACTCTGGTGCTGTAGGTTGGAGATGCCCGCTTATGGTTTAGACCCCACTCTTCTCAGGGGGATCCAAGTGGCCCTTTCAATATCCTTCTGGTGTTACCACCCGCCTCTTGAGTTTCTACTGCACTCCTTACCAGCTTGATTGCCCTAAAGCTGATTCTTCTGTCTCCGAAGTTACAAGGATCCTCTGACTATTGTTCAGTTGTTTATTCCAGGTGATTTCTCCACAATTGAGTTGTAATTCCTGGGAGGAGGTCAGTGTGACTTCCACTCATTCCTCAGCCAGCTTGATTCCTCAATGATGTATTATTTTAACTGTTATTTTATTATTTGTTGAAGCTAAATCTGTTTTTGTATATTTCTTGCCATTTCCATTATTTTTAAAAAAGCTTTAAATGTCTTTTTGCCATTCTTTATCCATTTTTTTGATTAACTTTTTGTAGAATTTTTTTCCCCAAAGAAAACAAAAACTATTAACCCTTTTTAGATGTGTCCTTTCCTACTCTATTACTTGTTCTTTAACTTTTTTTACATGTATATGACAATATAGTCTTAAATGCTTAATATAGTCATATTGTCAATATTTTACTTTATAGCTTCTGGGTTTGAATATTTTACTTCAGAGTAAGAAAAATGTTATTTTGTATTTCTCCTAAAACTCCTTAGATTTTACATACTGATTTTTACGTCACCTGAATATGTTTTGTATAATGTGTGAAACGGGGCTCTGTATTTGTTGTATTTCAAGTAATAATGACCCATGCACCTTATATATTGAATAAGCCTTATTTTCCCCATTGATCTGAAATATCAATTTAATCATATATCACAGTGTTAGACAAGAAATATACATTTGTTTCTAGAATGCTCATTTTATTTCATTGATCTACCTGATTATTTCTGTGCTGGTGTCATGTTGTTTTAATTGCTGAGACTTTGTAATGGATTTAAATTTTTAAATATTTTATCATGGATCTTGACATTTAAATACATACATACATACATACATATATACATAAATAATCTGCATTTAAAAAAAAGAAAGAAGGAACTCCTACCTTTTGCAACAATATGGATGGGACGGGAAAATATTATGCTAAGTGAAAGCAGTCAGTCGTTGTAAGAAAAATACCATATGATCTCACCTATAAGTGGAATCTATTCAACAAAATAAAGTTACAAACAAAATGAACCACAGGCATGGAAACATGGAGCAGACTGAAAGAGACCAGAGGGGATGGGGAAGCAGGACAATGGTGGAAAGGAGGAGGGAGTAAGCAAAGAACATCTATGAATGACCCATGGACATGGACAACAGAGTGGGAACTGCCAGTGGGAGAGGAGGGTGGGGTGGAATGTATGGAGGAAAGCAAAGGGGGAAAAATTGAGACAACTGTAATAGATTAAACATGATTTAAAAATAAAATTTTTTTTAAAAAAGAGTTAAAAGAAGATTCAGGAGTTAGAATCCAAGGTTCTTGCTGAATTATAATTTGGTTGGAAATGTATATCTAGATCTCCTCAATGTCAAGAAGTACTTAAGTACAAGTAGCTCAGTAACTGCTACTGACCAGCTTAGGAAAATGACTATCAACCACAGTCTGATATAGTAATGTGTCTTTAACAGAAAGTAACACGTTTGGGGGACCTCATGCCTACACTCTCTAGATTACAAAGTACTAATCCATGCCACCAATATTCAGTTTGGTATTGGCCTCATTTTCAGAGTTTACTTAGACATATTAATCAATAATGTCACTTCTCTTTTCTTACATATTTTTACTATCTTCTAGTCAACAGACTAAGAAAGCAACAGCAGGGCTCAACTATTCAAACCGTGAATTTGCATAAAAATCTAACAAATACAGAACTTCCCAACCAGTTAGCCTGACACAGATGTGTTACTGATTCCCTGGGGACTCCAAGCAGGCAGTGTCTTCACAGCTGAGTTGGGCCCTGAGCACAGCCCTGGGCCCCACCATGACTGCAAAGAGACTGAGAAGCTGAGAAATTCCACATTAGGCATGTGACACCTAAAGATGTCATGCCTTCTGCTTGTGTTTATAAGGTCTGAATCCTTCAGTGGCCTTCAGAAGTTTTACAATGTCCTTCAAAAAATAGTTTTTTTCCAACTTTAATTCAATCTTAAGACTTTGTTTTTACCGAGGATTCCTTTATTTTGCAGGGGGAACGGAGACACAATACTTCTTAAGCTAAAAACCGCTGTATAAAAGTTATAATCTGTTTGGCTGTTTTTAGAACTAACCTCTCAATGGTCATGTTTTTAGCAAAAAATACTGCTTTAAGTTCAAAGCCACTGGTTAGGTCAAATAAAAGCACTCTCACATGACCTCAATGGGTAGCTAGATAGATGACAGGAATGCTTTCATATAAGAACTAAGTTATGTGAAAATACAAACTAGTATCAGAGTATAAAGAAGATAAAAGAGTTCAACCTTTTGAAAGGCTCTATCATTCATTCATTTGTTCACTCATTCAATAAAACACTGCAGAACGATAAGCTGAAAATCCAGAGAATATAAAGATGGTTCCTCCAATGATCTCTTCAAAGAATCATTACTTTTGATGACTACAGAAATAGGTCTGAGTTCCAGAAGGGGCTTTAAATTTGGCTTTCATCCCAAAAGTAAAAATGTTAAAGAAAAATTAAGTAGCTTTTTTAAGTAAGTGAAGACAGGAGACATAAGTACAAGGATTTGGGAGGGAGAGAGAGTATTTCATCGGTATTTCAAGAATCCTGTTTGATTTAGTAGTGATTTCACTCATGTAGCAGTTGAACAGAAATTTCAGCTCCTTGATGTTTGCAGCTATAAATAAAGAGAAGTAAAAATGTCTCAAGTGCATAATTCTCTGTGGCTTGAGATGCCAGCAAAACAAACTCCTCTCTTGAAAAAAGTGAGCAATCTCTCCATTTTTTATTGACCTTTTGAAAAGCAAACAATTTCATGATGCACTAAAACTTTCAGTTTTCAGAAAGAAACACCACAGTTTGTCCTACAGATTTTCTTAAAATTTTAAGATAAAGTTTATTTTGAAGGTTACCAATTGCTTGCATCAGGTTCACAGTGTTAAACATGAACTGTAACTTCAGGAAATCCTCAGTTCTTTCCCCCAGAAGTTAGCAATGACTTTCTCCTTTCTACCCTTCACAAAATTTTTTACACTTTCAGCTGTTACTCTAATTCAGATGAGGATAAAACTTTGTTTTTTAAGTTTCTCATTTGTGATTGGATACTGGAGCATTATTGTGAATAGCTAGATTTTTGGAATACAGAATGTCCTTATTAATGGCAATAATGGCATTTCCTCCTTTAGTACCTAAATATAATGCAGAAAATATTTTCTTTAGGAAGGAAAAAGACTTTTTAACATTTTCAAAGCCAAAACATTATGTATGTAATAAAATGCACAATGCTTTATGTAAGCATATTCTAATCATGGTGGTAACTATAGATAAACTTCCTAAAGAAAACAACAACAACAAAAACAATGTTACAGTCAATTCACCAGCACTTTAGGAGTAAGACCACCAATAGTATATATCAGTATTTTATATATCTCATTTCACCAGTTTTATATCTCTAACTACAGGATGAAAATCATAATCCATGTGTAAGTAATCTCTTCCTCCTTAATACTCAGCTGGGGTTCTGCCTCCATTTAAGGACATTCTGATGTGCACTCTCATCAAAGGGACACTTAAAACATTACTGAAGAAAACATAAGCCTCCTGATGCTCGGTTCTTGATCATCTTACTGAGGGATTCCCAAGAAAATTTTTAAAGCTTTTCAGGTTTTAAGTTATGCTGGCCTCAAACATTCACCTTCTATTATTTACCAGTCTCACCTGAGTCTAGGTGGAGAGCACCTAAAAAAAAAATCTTTATCCGGCTATTTTGTGATATAATGCAACTCTGTCTTAATATTTTCCTCATTTCTGTATCTTGTTTACACATGTCTACTTGCTGTGCAGTGACACAAACAAAGCCTGAATCAGGGTTCTAAGGCCTCCTCCCACTTTACTTTCAGAAGTTTAACCAAGCTTATGCATCACCTCCTTCAGAAGGCAGTCCAGGATTCCTGAAATTATGAAGCAACTGTCCCTCTCTGAGCAGTTTATTTATGCCACCTTTAAAGTATCTGTCTCTTTTTGATTCTTATTTTGTACCTGTCTTGTGTTTACTGTATTATAAAAAGTTATAAGCATCTCATGTAATAGAAACTCTATCTTACATATGCCTGCTTCTTAGAGCAAACTAACTCAGTGAATGATCATTAAATAAATAAATGCTGTATAACTGATATTTAGTCTATAATCACATAAAACTATTCAGTTATTAAGGTATACTTTTGGTGGTTAAACAGAAAAAATTAGCAATCAAAGCACTTATCAAAAATACTAAAGTACACTCTCAAGCTACTAAATAAAATCTATATCACCTGAAAGTGGAAGTAGAACTAGGTCATTATGCAAACATGGATCCAAACAATAAAATGATTTTTTACTTACTTGTCTCCAAAAAACTTCCTCCAGAATTCAGCAGCGTCTGCTTTCGTAATACGAAAGTTATCTCCCTGAAATTGCCCGTTGGGGAAGATTGCTTTGATTTCTGCCAGCATGTGACTGAAGATAAGGGACAGTTTTGTGAGATTTCGTCTGTGGGCACAAGGGGGTAAAAAGAAGAAAAATAAATAAATATGTTTTAAATGTATATTTTATGAAAAATAAAATTATGTACAGTATCAACCTAGGTCTTGGTGGTTGATCACGAACATCTAATTACGACCCTAAAAATGTTCACAAAAAAGTTGTATATTTAAATTCCTAGCAAGCCTTTCACTTATTATTAATCCATATAGTCATTTACTATAAACATGAATAAGATTAATTACATGAATTTAATGGGAGAGACAGACAGCAAAAGAAAGTATTCAAATATAAATGCTAAACACAAAATATAGAGTGGCGATTTCAACGTGTAAGGAAAGATGTGTAGAACCTAGGAAGATAAGTAGTTGTTTGACTGATTTAAGACTCAGAATAGAGAGAAGGGGAGGGCAGAAAGAGAAGATACTTTGGAGGTTGGGACTAACATGTACAAAAGTATAGAGGTATGGAATAAAACTATTTATAAAACACATACATTTAGCATGGCTAGAGAAGAACAGAAGATGACTGGAGGAAATTTCTGAGTCATCTCAGAAATGGCCTGAGACAGGATGAGAAAGTTTGGTTGGAATATGACATAAGGGGGCACCTGAAATAATGAAAAAAAGTCTGTCAAATACACTTCCCACTCCTATGAAAAAATCAGAGTTTCTGATGATGGGTTCTAGATATGTGCATATTTTAGAAGCTTCTTGAGCAAGTCTAATGTACTCCCCATGTTGAGAGCTCCTGCGATAAGGAAGAGGGAGCCAAAATGAATTAGACTAAGGACGTGATCAAATCTGTTTTAGAAATAAAAAGTTATGACAGTATGAAAAAATGGTTTGGAATTAAAGGAAATGCAGGTTGAGGTGTCTGAAGGGTAGGGGAGAGGTTGCAATAATTTCTTTAGGACTAACGAAAAGTGAAAATTAATAGATAAAGCCAACAAATCTGAAATGTATGTAAAGCCTTACAATGTTTCATCATGACTTTGACATTGAAAGTTTTGGTTATTTTTCTCATTTTTACTTTTGTACCTGTGTTTAAAGATTCTCAAATAACAGGCAAAAAAAACATGTTAGGTACCAAACAGATTATATAATACACACCTACTGATCAAATCTATGGGTTTCATTCTTTCTAAAACATTTACCATAAAACCCGATATAACTTCTTATATAGTATGAATAGAGAATAAATGAATATACTAGTTATAACAAAGTGGAAAAAGACTGAAACGCAAGCAATCAAGTATAAAGTAAACTACATCTCAAAAAATTCATCTCTGTTAGAAAACCAAATACATCCCAATTTCCATAACCTTCCTATCTATGAGAATATTTATGGAAAGGAAGGGTCAGAACTTATGCCTTATTTTTGTGCTTGACTGGCAAAAATAAACAATCTGCAAAATCATTATCATTATGCATAATATTGCTTCATTTGCTGAGATTCAGCCACACTTCCATACAACTCAAACTACTCAAATGTATGATTTCTTTAATTAGTTGAATCTTTCATCTTCTCATTTATGTCAACACATCCTCGTTTAGATGATAGTAGATGTAAGAAATTCAGGTCTTAGGAAATGAAAAGTAAACTGCTGAACTGTATCAAAGGAAAGAATTATGACCAAAATAAACTGCAACTGACTTTTGAAATTTGAGTTTAAGGAAAAGAATAAAGTCACTTTAAAAAATCTGCAACAAATTTATTTCTATAATTAGGCAAAGGGTTAATTTTCTACTGAACTTCCAATTGATACATACAGAAGAAAAAAGAAAAATCAAGATGGCTATAATTAGGGTGAACCAACTGTTCCATATTTTCTGAATTGGTTGCTTTCTGTCCCCTTGTTTCTTTGTTCTTTAATCATATCCAAATGCTTTCCACTTTTATTTGTTAAGATCTAAAGTCTGAGGCACACTGCCAATGATTATCCATTTTGGATTTTTGATCCACTGGCAATGTATGTGGACACTAAACTTTAAAACAAATATAGTTAACATTGTGTCTTTATGCAATCCTGAAACTCTAATAATCACTAGTACCTATCTATCTAATCACCATTTAATTATAAAATATGTGGATAGTTCAATTTTCTTGTTCTTACAAGTGAGTTACCACATTTTTATTTGACTTTTAGAATACGAAGGCAATGAAAGTGAATTTTGCTTTTAGTCTTTAAAAAAACTCAAATTCAAGTTATTAAACATACAGTATGTGAATGCAAAGTTTCATGTTACCTTATTTTTCACATGTAACAGACTATGTATTTATATTTCTTTTATATCTAATTTTTAATTACACATATGTACCATACATATGTAAATGATCATTTTGGAAATCCATTATTTAAAAGACTGATTCATAGAGCTTACAGTCAACACCATGATACAAAAAAAAAAAAAGACAGAAATTCTACTATCTGATGTCATTTAAATTTATTATCAGAGAAAATAGGTTTTCTTTTTTATATAATTGTGTGGGTTTCTCTTTGTTTGTTTGTTTACTATATTATGTTATACATTATATGCTTTCTTTAATCCCCTGCCCTTCTTTGCACCCTTAGATATCCATTAAAAAAAAAATAAACTTCCCATTTTGAAAGCAAATTCCAAGAATACAGTCATCTCTAGCCAGTGGAAATAAGCACAACAACTATACATCTTCTTTGTAGCTGAAATGTTTTTTCCTATTATAAAACTTTTCCATACTTGGCAAATTCTCCCTTGATTACCTCTCATCATAAGACCAATAATAATGACTGCTTAATAAAGATCTGAGGCTTACTAATTAAGAATGTTTCCATCACTAAAATACCCTACCCCAAAACAATGAAAAGAATAAAATTTTGTCTACAAAGAAGAGACTCAATAATTTTATAATTATAAATTTAATTTTACAAGGAATTTTGCAATACTCTTTAATTTACAGTATAAGAGCTACTTTATTTTGGCTAATTACTAACTCATATTTCCCATTAACCATTACAAGCTAAGCCCTTTTATAAAATGTTTTCTGTGAGATTTTGTTTATAAGAAATAATTATGAAATAAAAGTGTTTTGATATACCAGGTAATCAAGAATAGCTTCTAGATTTCAATGCTTGGTAAACCAGGAGAGGTGTTAATATTAGAGGAACCTTGAAGAAGAGGAAAGGAAGAAAAAAGGAGTAAAAATAGGAGGAAGAAGAAAAAAAAAGCTAACTACGTTAAAAAAAAAGTGTATGAGTAATGTATAAGCAATGTCAATAGTATCACCCCAAGAGCAAAGGACCTCTTTTATTCTGGATTCAATCACCTAACACTGTATTTCTTTAAAATGGTATGAATCAATTTTAACAAAAATCAAGTTACATTACTGCACAGAATGTAAGGTTGAACCAGAGTGAATTAGCATGACTTTTGAAATGATAGAGCTTCACTGTTCATAAATAAGTCTTTGAAGCTTAAAGTGGCTATAGCCAGCATCACAAGGAGACTAGAGGTGCACAAGCTTTGATGTAGAACGACACAATCCTACCCTTAATAAATGTATCACATACTGTGGGACAAAAAGGCATGAATAGATTATTATGATACAATATAGCAGGGGCAATACAACAACTATAGCCATTTCCATGTAATAAATTAAGTCTGAAAAATAAAAAATAAATCAAGATTCGATTAGTAGCCCCCGTTAAAACACAGGGGTGGGAGGGCAGACAAAAATGTAATATAATTAAATTAAGTGTAGAGTTTGCATTTTCTCTATCCAGAAAAAACAGCTGTGTGTCACAAATCAAAGGAAAATAAAAAGCTTTAAATGCTGAATTAGTGAAAAACTTTAAATGACACTTTACATCAGTGAGATCAAAGTCTGTGAGAATGCTACTTTGGGGAGAAAAAAGGAGAGACCATTTTTTAATTAAGAAATATTTGTAATTCAGTTCTCACATTTAAAAGCTAGAACATGTTCTTCTTAATCTTTACAAGGTGAAACAAGTTCAACATATAAAGAAAGGCAAGACATAAAGAGTATGTCAAAACAACAGTAGCACTCAAAATGATCCTCATATCCAGCTAAAGAGCAGTTTCCATTTGCTGACTTTCTGATGTAGTGGCCTCCACAATTGGTAAACAGTTACTTGACTCTGCTGTTGACTTTGGGAACCTTATAATTCCTAAGAATTTGAGGAGACTAGGCTGATGTACGCCTTGTCTTTCATTTCCCTCTCTCGGGAATAGACCATTATAAAGATGGATCTGGAAAGTCTTAAATAAAGGTGCATCTTACCCATTTCCTTACCCAGATGCTTTTAAGTTTTCAACACCTCTAAGGGAAATATGAAGCACATCTTAAAAGTTCAAATACCAACAAAGTCTCAAAGTCTTCTCCAAGTCATAAGAGAAGTCAAGCATGTGAGCAGAAAAGATCTAACCTAAGACGCAGGCAATCGAACAGTTTTTCAAGCTGCTCCATGTTACCTCATGGAAATAAAACCCACTTGCTTAAAAAAGGAATTTAGCTAAGCATTGCAGTCAAAAACCTTCACTAAAATAGGTAACCAATGAAGGTCTTTTTCCTCTGTTAAAGAAAACATAATGCACCCCTGACATGGCTAGGGAGGCAAAGCCCTGAAGTTGTGGAGAGGAAAGATGATCCCTGATGCCTCTGGCAGGACACTCCTGAACATGCTGTCCACAAAAGTCTATTAAGAGCAAGAGGCTATCCCTCAAAATAAGATGTCTCTTTCTACAACAAATAATTTTAAGTGAACAATTTACAAATGCCTTACTTAAACATAACTCAACCATGAAACATACCTATAATGTTCAATTGTAGTATCCACTGACAAGTTCTCAGGAGGTATTTAAGAGACATTCTGCTTAATTTATCAACTATCCTATATTAAAGAGTTGGCCCTGAAGTCTGATGGTATTTGGTTCGTATCCTTACTCTGTTGGTAGTCTTGAATAAGCTACTTAACCTCTCTCCTAGAACCAGTTTCCTCCTCTCTGAAA